TGTTTTGTTTTGTTTTAGAAAGGCTGGTGGGGGCTTTTAAATTTAACAAGCTTGTGAAATCAGTTCTTTATGAATTGCTTCGGGCAATGTGAGCAACTCTGTCGTATTAAATACTGTACTGTTTTTGTGGGAGGTCATGGGCTTCCAAAGTAATGTCACTACATCGCTATGCCACTTACAATTTATATTTTTAGAGAGAGAAATGCACGCATTCCAAAGGATACCTGAAAACCAAAGAAATACTGCACAACACTGGAAAATAAATGAGAGAGAAGGTTGTGATCACTGACGATGCGCCGGGAACAAGCCACATGGAAACCACAAGTTCTCCAAACATGCTGGTCAATGAAATGGTTTAAAATCTCATGTGTAGAGATTTTAAAGCAATCATTTTTCTAAGTAAACACAGGCAGCGACACAAAAACCATGTGTCTGAAAATCGATTTAAAAATACATCAGAGCTGAAATAGATACAAATCGACAGTATAACCATGCCCTTAGCTGCCCCTGGGTGAAACGAGGTAGGCAGTCAAACTTTCTTGAAATCCATGCAGGCAGGTTTCAGTATTACTTTCCCCTGAAGAAGGTCAAGCAAGTATCTTCCGGACAAAACATGTTGGTCGATTTCTAAGAACAAAACCTGTTTTCCTTTTTTTAACATCCAAGCATCTTGTCTCCATTTTGCATCAAATTCGACTGGATGTTTCCAGTAATTTTTGCTGTTTTGCTACAGTGAGCCTTTTTGCCACAGAGCTCTGCCTCCTCGCTTTGCTCCATTTCCACCCTCTTCTTTGCAGCCTTGCTCAGAAGCAGGCATGGTGGCGACAGCCAACTTGTTGAATGGAGAGAGAGAGAGCAATAAAAGCCAATCCCTCCTTCTGTGCTTTCCGAATCTCATCATCTGCACCTCACATGGCTCATCAAAAATCGTGTCTGTCCTGAATGGCTTTTGATATGCAGAATAATTAGCGCTGTCAGGATGACTGATTTTTTTAGTGCAGTGTGCTCATTTTCCATAATTTGCCCAGGGCTCCCATTACAAATGGGAGGGATGAAGGGTGCGCAAGCCTGCTCTCCCTCTCTGCTTCCTCCTCTGGTTGATTTTGCTGTTGTTTTATCCTTTTTTTTTCCAGGATGCAAAGACCATCTGTCCAGCCTTGGCTCTCCCATCAGAGCTGCTCAAAAGGCAACCCAGGATCCAGCTGCAAAGTGACTCTACTCCTGCCCCAGCTCTGGCGCTGGAACACTGTGCTGCCCCCTCTTCCCCCCCCAAAAAAAACCCAGCACTCCCTGGCACCTCCTGGAGAGCTGAGGCCCCCGGGGTCCCACGAGTGGTTTTGTACCCGGAGCACAGCAAACTCGGAGCACTCCTTCTAGTGCCTCTTTTCTTGGCATGCCGGCCGGGTCTTACAGGGGTGCTCTGACATGCCACTCCAAGGCTCAGCTCCTCTGGGTTCAAATCTGCAATGTTTTTCCCCCCAAGACATTCACTTCCCCAGGAAGGGCCTGCCCGAAGAGTGTGCTCAGAAGCAGCAGGGTTTAGAAATGTGAACACTTTCCTTCTGCAGAAGGTTGTGTTGTAAGGGTTGGAGCTCTGGAAAGAACCCCCCCCCCCGAGAGACAGCGAAGTTCAGATCTCCATGAAGTCAGGAGGGGTTTTCAGTCGCCTACTGTCCCTCAGCCGTAGGGTGGTCAACCTCAAGCCCACTTTTGCCCCCCAGACCTCCAGGTCCCATTCCCATCACGTCATCCTCTGGCAGCTTCCAGCCTTTTGAGTGTTTTCCCCCTTACTCTGAAAGGTTGGAAGGAAACGGCTCTCTCCAAGCTTCGTTATGGCCCAGTTTTAAGCAAAAAAACAAAACAAAAAAACAAAACAAAAAACCCCACTCTGGTTATTGGGCCTCTCCCGCCATGGAAATATAGCTCTAAGAGCGTCTCTGGAGTTGAGTTTGTCCCCCTTCCCAGGATCCAGACTAGGAGAGGTTGCAATTCCCTAACCTACGTGGTAGGATTGCTTGGGGGATACCGGGGTGGAATCTACCCAAGTTGCCACTTGTTGCAATTCCCTAACCTACGTGGTAGGATCGCTTGGGGGATACCGGGGTGGAATCTGCCCAAGCTGCCACTCGGAGAGTTCTGGTGGACAAGGGCCCCCCCCGGGGTGGCTCTTGCTCCCTCCCCCTTCCACATGTGCAGCATGTATGTCTGTTGCAGGAATGTGGCTTTCAAAATGGCACCTTTGCCTGGGATCTGTTCTGTTTCACCGACACCAAGCTTTGTTCTGTGCAACTGTCTGCCCTGCATCGCCGGAGCCCAGCAGATGTGCTTTGAAGTCCCGACCGCAGAGCGGAGCAGTCTGTTTTAAGAGATGTAAGGCAGAAAATTTGTGACCCCCATAAGGCTTTAAAAACAAGAACATCCATTTGGAAAACCACTGGATTTATAGCTGCTGGGTCTTCTGCTGCACCACTCTGATCAAAGGCCATCCAAAACACGTCGGGGCATATGTGTGCGCAATCAGACAGCCATTTGGATCGCTTTTTGAAGAAGTCCCCAGAGCACGATTCTGGTTCAGGGTATTTTCCAGCACTCCGGCTGGAACGATTGGGACGACTGGCAGGAAGGGTGACTTTTAATGATCATGCCCAGAGAAGTGACCCTTTACCAGGTGATCCAAAGCAGTCCCGCCTCACCATCTGATTGCACCCAAAGACTGCCGTTATCCATGGCTATCCCTGATGCTCTCGGAGGTCAGGACTTATACCCTGGTTCAAAAGAGTCTCTGCTATCTTTGCAAAGTTCACTGCATGGAGGCAGTTCACATAGTGAAATAACGTCCAGGCGAAACCTGAGGCTTGTTACTCAGCTGCTCCTTAATTTTTTTTTATTTTTGCTTCCAAACTGGAGATGCTCTTTCCCTGTCTGAGAAGTCTTCTGTTATCATCTGTTTTGTTTCTTTGCTGAGTGAGGAATGAGCAGTACTTGGTGCATGAACAGCCTGTGCAGGATGGGGTCGCGCTCCCTCTGAAACCCCCCCATGCGAACTTGGGGGTGCTCCTGGATTCGTCTCTGAGCCTGGGTGCCCAGGTCTCAGGGGTGGCCAGGAGTGTCCTTTGCACAGTTAAAACTCTGGCCCCAGCAGGACCCATTCCTGGACAGACTTGACCAGGCCTTCGTTACATCCCAGCCGGATCACTGTAACACACTCTGTGTGCGGCTGCCGATGGAAAACGGCATTCCATCATTTAAATGGGAAATGGGGTGCATTTTCTTGCAGCCACTAACTGATCACTCTCAGGGCTACGGCTGTGGCTGGGGAGACCAAATGAACGAACCCTTCATTTTCCACTTGATTAGGACTTTTCCTCCCCCTTGTTGGTCGAAAACGGGGGGATTTTTCTGCCAGGTTTTCCAAGTGGGAAGCTTTCCCCCCAGGAGACTGGTACAATCCCGGCGACCTTCCTCTTTGGAGGATCCCTCGTGCCGGGTGATCCGGCAAGGAAATCTCAGGGGAGACCTAGCTCACACTCCGATGAGATGCAACAAGGGTGGGACGGGCGAAGTTGCGTTTATCACAGGAAGCATGCTGTCGTTTGCTCCTGGCAAAAGGTTGTGGCTACACACAAGTGGGTGCCGGAAAGAGCATTTTAGTTTATGGACTTCTCTGGCCAACCTCGGTCTCCGAGTCTTTGTTCTTCACATGTGAAGTGGGTGGCAGGAGGAGAGCAGTGACTTTTCACATTTCAACGTAGGACACCAGGAGAAAGCCACTGGCCTCACTAGCAGCATGTTCAGCACTTCAACCCGAATTGCAGGGCTGAATTTAATAAGAATTCCCTGTGAATTCTGTGCAACATCTGTGGTGCTTACATGTCCATCCTGAGCAAATCCAGCTGTTGATAAATTACCTGCAGGCTATGAACAAGAGGACGTGCCGGAAAGAGCATTTTAGTTTATGGACTTCTCTGGCCAACCTCGGTCTCCGAGTCTTTGTTCTTCACATGTGAAGTGGGTGGCAGGAGGAGAGCAGTGACCCCAGGGGCCAATCTCATTATCAACAGCAAGGCATTTTTCACATTTCAACGTAGGACACCAGGAGAAAGCCACTGGCCTCACTAGCAGCTTGTTCAGCACTTCAACCCGAATTGCAGGGCTGAATTTAATAAGAATTCCCTGTGAATTCTGCGCAACATCTGTGGTGCTTACATGTGCATCCTGAGCAAATCCAGCTGTTGACAAATTACCTGCAGGCTATGGACAAGAGGATTCTCACTCGTGGCCTCAGACATCTCTGCTGTTCTAGAGGGCGACCCTTGTAAGCCGTGCCCAGATGCCCATCTTTTAATTTATCCCACCACCACCACCACCAAATAACACACTTTTAGATATTTCTTTCATACAGTGTGTTTCTGAAAAACAAGAATACGGACAGAGCCTTAACTGCATACCTGGGAAGACAACGTTCGTCCACAGTCTATTACAGCAAAACCAGCTGAGTTTGGGGGCACCTAAAAGGCTAATACGTCTGTTTGGCACATTCTTCTGAAACCCTGCTAGCCCACCTCTTTGGAGGCCTGGAGGACAGCCTTAACGTTTGACTCCAGCGATTGCATGTACCCGAATGCACAAGTTACAGTCCAGCGAAACAAGGGCCTTCAATGCTAGTTCGAGACGCACGTATGACTGGAAGGTCTTGGTTTCCAGAACTTGGTGATGTGACTTTTATTTTCCATTGTTCAAATACAGCTCTTCGCATCTCCTGGCCACGCTGCCTGGTGGGATTCAGGGGGGCTGTGATCCAAAGTAATGGCGGTTCCAAGGGTTCATTAAAGCCAGCTACCCTCATCATCCCAGAAGGATGCTCTAGGCCGTGAGAGGCGTCCAGCGTCCTTGAAGCCTCAGCCCCCCCCCCACCTCTGCCTTGCCTGGCCCTTCTGACCACCGGGGGACTGACCCTCCCCGGAAGAGAAAATGGCTTGGAGCTCGCCTGCTCTCCTTACCTATCGCAAATTCGTCAAAGGAGATGGTGGTGGAGCTGCTGCCCAGGGGATTCGAGGCCGTCAAAGTCACCTTGTACTTCTTGGTGGAGAAGACCTGGAGGAACTGGATGTAGCACCTGTTCTTTGGGGGCGTTTCCTTCTTGCACACAATCTCCTTGGAATCGTGGCTGGGAAAAACAGAGTGAAAAGGAGAAAAAAAACACGAGAAGAAAAGAGAGAAAGAAAAACTAAGGTGAAGTGGGATTTACAGGGAGTTTGGTCTGAGAGGGATTTCCCTACCACCACCATCAGCCCACGCTCAAAGGATGGAGCTACTGTATTCCAAAAACCACCCCACCCCTCTGGACAGCCGGAACTGCAGAACTGCACTCCTTTATCCAGGTCTTGTTTTGTTTTTGTGAGTGTCCGGACACAAAAATGGTGCGGCTGGAAACTAACAGAGATCACATCCGTTCTTTGTTTATCCAGGTCTTGTTTTGTTTTTGTGAGTGGCCGGACACAAAAGTGGTGCGGTTGGAAACTAACAGAGATCACATCAGTTCTTTGTTTTGTATTCTTGAAGGATTTCATGGCCAGGATGTGATGGTGGTTGTGGGTTTTTCAGACTCTTTGGCCATTATTCTGAAGGTTGTTCTTCCTAACGTTTCACCAGTCTCTGTGGTCGGCATCTTCAGAGGACAGGAGTCAGAACTCTGCACTGCTCTGGTGCAATTTGTTTGGATAGTTGAGTATTTATAACTGTGGGATCAGCTTTTGTCCTGTTCAGCCACAAGGACAGGTGATCATAACACACAAAAGACCAGCTAACGACACCCATCAATCACAGTGACAGATAATCTCTCCCCCTTATCACAACTATACACCCACAACAAAAAACACGCTGATCACCATAATCCCCCAATCTCCTGAAAAGGACAAAAGCTGATCCTGCAGCTATAAATACTCAACTATCCAAGCAAACTGCACCAGAGCACAGACAGAGTGTGAAATGAGCTGCCACGGCTCTTGGAGGTGACCCCTCTCTGTGCCCCAGACCTCATCAAGGATCGGTTTCCGAGAACCACAACTCCAACCGCACTGGCTAGCATGGAGACCCACCGTCGCTGGGGGAGCAGAAGACCACACTGCGAAGATCCTGCCTGCACTCTGCACTCAACCCAGAGGGAAGGCTCAGGTTCTCTGAGGACGCCATTTACGGGTTCAAAGAGGAGGTGACGGTGCGCCAGCATGGGCCACATGGTGGTGGCAGCAGTGGCAGCGGGGCAGCAGCTACAATCTGGGCAAGACGCTCTTGCAGGCAGACCTCGAACTGGCCCTCAGGAACCCAGGCAGTGGAAGGCAAGGGAGTCAGCCCCCTCCCCTTCTTCTGTCCAGGGAAGGCAGCGATCCCCACAGCCGCCAGCCGCTCCCCCCTCCTCCTGCAGACAGACCTGTGCCCCCCCAAGAGGCTGCCCCCTCTTGAGCCCCCCACCCTGCCCTTGCGCCACTTACACGACAGTGATGTTAAAGGTGTCGTTGATGTAGGTCGGGCTGGGCAGGTGCCAACTGCAGTAGAACCCGTTGGGGTAGTTGTTGGACCGGCACATCACGATCGGCTCCTTGGGCGGCACTGGGAGGAGAGAGGAAGGAAGGAAGGGAGGAAAGTCACGCTCGCTCGCCTCACCTGTGCTTCTGCCACGGACTGTCTTCCTCCCCCCACCGGACCTGAAAATGGACTCCATGTTTCAGGCTTGCCCCCCACCCCCTTCCTCTTGAGGAAGGCAGGCACCTGGGACTGTGTCCAGCTGGCCCAAGGCCCCACAGGCTAGCTCTTCTTCCCAAGGAGGCACAGCGGGGAACCGAACCCCCCGACCTCTGGCTCCACGGCCAAGGACCCAACCCACTGAGCTCTCCAGCCAACACACCGATGGCCTATGGTTGCTCCAAAAAAACCCCTCCCCTGCACCGAGGAACTGATTCGTGGGACTCTCTTGGCCCCTATTTTAATATTTGTTTTGTTTAGTAACTTCCCGTACATGGCACAGTGATGCAGACTCTTCCTACCATGTCTTCCTCCCCCTTCTCTTCTCATTGAATAAATGTTTGTCAGCATATATTTTAGTTTCTCGTTAGCATTTTTATTGTTCTCTCAACATTTGCTTTTGTGTTCAACTCAGTGGTCTTTTTTGGAGGGTAGATATTTAAAAACCACCACCACCACCACCCTTACAGCCTACAGCCAGACTGTTTGTATTTGTAATGGATTTGAAGGAAAGGGGTGATCACCTGTGGCCTGCCAGCAGCCCCATTTTTGCAAAAATAGGGAAAGAGGAAAGCCCCCACCCACCCCTATGTGCTCCAGCAGGTGTGGGAAGCAATCTTGCCCTTTTTTCGGATGCTCCCATGCATCCTTGTAACTTTTATTTTTAAAAAATCTGACTGCTATAATGCGAGAGGAACTTGACCAGGAAAGAGCAGATGCAACAGGTTTTATGAGTAATTGCTTCAATTAAAAGAAAGGAAGGAAGAAAAAGGAGCGCATTTATGGAACCTACAGCGAAGCTTTCTTTCTGATGCTGCTTAAGCAAGGAGGTTGCATGAGACAACCACGGAAGGCTTGCAATATTCAGTGGTTGTATCTCTTGGGGTGTCTAATGGGGACACTCGAACCGTACCTCAAATGGTTCAGCTTACTCTGATGCAGACCAGAAAGAGGAGATGCGGTAAACACGCATGTAACAACATCCTAAATGACTAGAAAAACTGGAGGAGGAACATTTGTGCATGTGTATCCCATGAAGCAGAACACGTGCATGGAAGTCCCATTTAAAATCGAAGATTGGGAAGGCTGCCGAGGCAAGCGGTCCCTCTCCACCCTCTTCCTCTGCCGGAGCAAAGATTTACTGGAAGAGAGGTCCCCAGGGACTCCCGTTCTGTTTGGCTCCAGATGACAAGATGCAAATCCCCCTCCAGTAATTACACGTATACATCACGTCTCTGAGCCTCCAAGGAGGTTTCTGGCTCCAGGAGCTCCCTGCGGAGTTTGTCACAGGGTAGGATCCCCCCCCCGTCCGTCCGTCCTTCCAAAAGGAGGAGGGCAAGGAGGAGAAAGGAGCTTTCCGTTCTACACAGGGAGACAAACGAACCCAGACACCCATCATCCGATCAGGCCAGAGCATTTGCTCTTGGGGGGGGGTCAGACTCCTCTGGCATGCACCCCCAAACCACTTTCTCTCCAGCTGGCCCCCTCACCCTGGCCACGGCCCACTTTCCTCTTCTGTGCCTTCGGCCGAGGAAGGAACCCCCTCCAGCCGAACCTGGTGTCGAATCTGACCACAGATCCCTCTCAAACCATCATCTTCCTTCCAACCGAGCTGCTCCAGGAAATGAACAAACAGCTCACGTCCAGAACAACCCCCACACGCGCACCCCAACAATGTTCCAGTGACATAAGATCTTCCCTCCCTTCTTCTGCTGCTAGCCGCGTTGCTAGTTCATATTTCCACCAACTCCGACCAGGGTGGGGTTTCTGTGAAGAAGCCAGACCAGTAACCTTTGCTCTCTCGCTGCCTTCCAAAGGGGGAAGGGACCACAAACTCTTCTGAATTAGTATTTGCTGGGAAAGGGGCATCTCCCCCGGTCGGGTCGGTCGTAGACGTCTTCCCAAGCAGAGCGGCTGCAGGCCAGCAAGACCAAGCTTGCCTCCTGCATCTTAAGTCTTGTGCCAGAGAGGAAATGTCCCCAGATTTTTAAAAAGTCTGCTCTTCTTCCACAGGTGCCAATTATGGCCAAAATCCACTTGCTATTCAAGAGCCAGAGGGAAACCCCCCCCCCGAATCAGCTGCTGAATGGGGAATCCCTGCCCAGAGACGTCCCCGTGGATTCAATGCGCCCCCCCCCATTGCACATCCGTTTCTAGGGAAGAACCCCCAGCGCTGAAAGGGCGGCCAGAGCACAGAGAGTCTTCCTCCAGAGGGGCTCCTCTGTGAGAAGGGCTGCTTTAACGATAAAATAGGTGGAAAGGGTGAGATGCAGGGCCGTGAAGTGGCCTGCAATCCACCGTGGGCAGCCACGTGGGCAGCCACGGCCACGGCCGGTGTCTGGGTCTGCTGGACATAAGTCTCGGCCATTCTCAGGGGAGGGATTGGCATCCTTGCCTTAATGACTCAAATCAACATTGACTCTGTGTCTGTGCACACCCACGCGGATCTATGTACTTTTAGGGAATGAGTTCCACTCTTTTGTCTTCCTCTTTAGACTACAGCCACCCGACCACCATCTCAGCAGAGACGCCTATTGTGAAGTCCCGTTAATCATCTTGGAATCATCTTCTTTACACACAGATTTGTAAGGAAGCCTGGATTTGTAAACCTGGATGCCCAGGTCTCGGCGGTGGCCAGGGGTGCCTTTGCACAACTAAAGCTGGTGTGCCAGCTGTGCCCATTCTTGGAGAGGTCTGATCTGGCCATCATGGACTTTGTGACTTTGTGACATATCCCAGCTGGTTGACTGCAATGCGCTCTAGGTGGGGCTGCCGATGGAAAGTGTCAGGAAACTTCAGGTCGAAAATGCAGCAGCCAAATTGCTGACTGGGGCTGATTATAGAGAGCACACAAACACCCCCCCCCTCTCGGTGACAGAAGCTCTACTGGCTGCCAATCTATTTCCAGGCACAATTCAAAGTGTTGATTTTAACCTATAAGGTCCTGAACGTCTTGGTCCAAGCTATCTAGAAGACAACTGGTAGTTGTAGGTTTTTGCGGCTGATGGTGATCAGGGTGCTTTTTTGTTATGGGTGTACTGTTGTGATAAAAGGGGGCAGATGATCTGTCACTGTGATTGATGGGTGTCGTGTGGAGCTGCAAGCAGGCAAAGACCTTTCTCTTTAGGAAAGCTCTCCCAGGGTTGCCTGAGTGGGTTTTTTAAATCAGACTGTTGTCCCTTCTTGCATTGACTGTTTTTTGGTGTTGCTTATGATGTGGGGTTTTTTTTTCGGGGGGGGGGTATGGTACTTGTTTGATCTTTTTTTAGTGTTTGTATACTCAGTGCTGTTGGCTTTTATATTGTCTTCTAATGATGTAAGCTGCCTGGGGTCCTTTTTAAGGAAAAAGGTGGGATAACAATATTTTAAATAAACAAATAAATAATAAACAAGGCACAATCTAATTTGGAAAAAAATACTCTAATGCAAGTGGATGCAAAGCATTAATGTATGTCTAATATCGTCCTTTGACACAATTGTGTTTAACTCAGATCAGCACCATATATCATCCATATTACCTGTTTCCTTGATGGTAAAATACCTTAAAATCTGTTGTGCATGACATCTGGGGTTACATATACCACAACCAATGCTTGAGGGGCCATTTGGGAGTCCAGACGACTCCATTCCTGAACGGATACCAAACACTTAGCAAATTGGATAATAACAAATTATGGCTAATTTTTCGAGCCCTTCTGAGTCATCCATCCGCGATGACACTGAGGTAGGAGTCTCTGACAGGGAGCTTGTTCCATTTCCAAGCCATTAACTATTCCACAAATCGTTTGTCAATTCTATGGCTTAATCTATGCAATTAGTAGGCTAACATTAGGCACTGATAGCTCTTCCTGCAGCCGGCTAATAACCACTAGATAGAAGGGGGAATTTCTTAGGGCTAAATTCTGGTGAAATTCCATCTGGAAGGGCCTGATAAGACTTTTCTGTTTCAGTAACAAGAAGCCACAGCCTATGACTCCCTCTCGGTCATTTTAGCTACCCAGATCAGGCAACTGGTGAAGGGTTAGACAGAGGCGTGGTCTACCGTGGACTGGCTGGCTGCTGCTACTTCACAGCACAAGCAAGGGATGCTATGTTAAAATGTTTTCCCATGGATAATAACTCCACAAAGGTAAACCACCTTGAGTGGTTTGCTGTACTGTTTTTCTAGCTGTCGGCGTGTTCTAACGCCAGGTATTAAAAGACAGAGTCTGATGGAAGCTGAGCACCAATACGTACATGCGGGAAGTGATCTGTGCTGGGGATGATTGGGTACAACATGGTTTAGACAAAAGAAGATGCAGGTTTTTGCATGGGGAGGAGAAGACAGAGCAAGAAGAGAACCTCTTGGGCTTCCTTGATTGTCGTTTATCTGATTTACATGGACCTTCCTTCAGTCTTTGTCTTTTCTAGATCTACATTTAGATTTCTTTTTGTTGATACACTTCCTTCCTCCTTCTCTCTTTTATTTCCTGTTTGCACTCCTCCTAGCTAGAGAGCGGCAGCAATGCCTGGCTTCTTCTTAACAGCTGCCAGCAGACTCTGCTCACAAGGGAACCATCCCTCGGGACTTCTGAAAAGAAGTTTAGAAATTCTTTGCCTCCTGCTCTATACGGAAATAGATTTCTCCGCACCATGAAAACGATGTGTCCCCCTTCTACCTTATTACCAATCTCCAAAGAGATTACTTCTATTGAATAGCCACAAGTTCACCCCAAGACCTCTGCACTTGGCTAGCACAAATGGCAAATGATCTTTTAAAATAGCATCGAAGACTTGCAGTCCATTCCAGTACCCACAAAGACCAGGCTGCCAGGTGAGGCATCATCTCTCTCCCTCAAGACTCTTAAGACTTGTTTACTACATACTCC